ATAGATCATGCTAAAATTCGATCGTGAAAAAACAATAATAATAAAGAGTTTGGAGTGGGACTTACCCCAGTTTTCAGAGAAAAAAGTTAACAGGTAGTTCATCCCCGGTCTGAGCCCTCGTCACTTCACCACCCGAGACACATTTCCCCAGATATAACCATGCTGCATCTCTGGAATTTAATTACATTCTTAATTTACTACATAAAATTTCAAAGCATTTTTCGGGGCTTGCAAAAACTTTGTTTGCAAGAATATTTTCCCTAGTAACTCAAAAATAGGAAGTGAGAATTGGACCATGTTTCGGTCCGTCCTGGATCATTATGAAGTCGAGTGATCTAGGACTGAAACACCGTTCATTTTAATTTCCCAAATTTTGTCGTGAATTATTCCAGCCACTGATCTTTGTGAGCTAACATTAAAATACGTATTTCTTGAGCATTTCTGAAGCACTTATTGTTTTTAAGGATTTTTATCGTCGAACAGCTAACCTATTTAAAAATGCAAGTACAAAATAGTTTTACCAATAAAGTTTCTTGTTAGAAATATATACAATGTTGGCACAAACTCCTGTTATCTGTAGCCAACTAAGGGCCACAATAAAATGTCGCATTTGTTGCATTTCTTCTTTTTACCTAATATCTGTAGGTATTACCAGCATTATTACAATATATATAGAAAAATATATCTCAAGTAAAAATATGATTCGTGAGGATGTCAGTTGTGGTTTATATATTTGTAGTGCTCGCCTGTCACGAAGAATTTTGGGAAAGGGATTCTTTGCAAGGGTTTGGGTGAGTTTATCTCGGCATTTTTTTGCACGTCAGGTACAACAGAAGACTTATTTTTAATCTAAATAAATCATTACTAACAGTTTTGTATTTTTGCGCTTCATGCTCAAATAAATATTCATCATAAATTCGTTTTAATTCATAAAAAATAATACCGAAATTAGTATTATTTGTTATTGTTGCAATTAAAATTTTCACACCGCTTTGCCCAAACATTTGATACTATCAGCAAGACTGGCGTTCGCACAAAATTAAATCTGTGCATTATTTGTGGGCCAGTCGAAAGGAAATCTTTAGCAACTACATGTAAAGATTTAGTGTGACATGAGGGCTAACGTGATACGGATTGTAGAGGGACGTTGTTGTCAGCGTCGCCGAGGATGAGTCTGCAGGAGTGGTGTTTGGGGGTTGTGGCGCCTGCCCGCACCTCCTCTTGGTTCGCGAGAACACACAGTCACCCTCACCTCACTATGCTCAACTCTCACCTACAGCACAAAAAATACGCATGCATCATGTTAATTTTGCCCACTTACGTAGTGTATACATCAGGATCTATCAAATGTACTTAAGTACATCGTATTTTTTTTTCAACAAGTCGGCCGTCTCCACCGATACAGGGTGACCCAAAAAGAAAGAAAATCCCCAAAAAGAAAATACTTTCATCATCATTCAACACTTTCACCTCACTCATAAAAAAGAAGCACCACAGAAACCTAATTCGAAAAAAAATCAAGATTCTGCCGGGAGTCGAACCCACGTCTGTTGCTTTAAAGGCAGCCGTGCTGACCGTTGCACCACAGTCATACATTTATGTTGTATTAAAACCTAGGATAGGATGGTATAATCAGGTGATGCACGCATGCACTCGGGTAATGGATTTACAGTGGTTGGGGTTTGGTGGATAAACTCTTTGCTCATCTGGCGTTCTGGTTGGTAATAGTCCATGATCCAATTAGCCACAGAAGAGCAACATATACCCACATTTCATAGTGCATGCATTGTCTGTCACTCTGAACTCACATATATATACCTTACATTCCAACAGAACGTAAAATCTCAAAAACTACTTGTTTCCACCTTGGTTTTAGTACGCTCACACATGCCTGCTGGATGCTCATGCCCCTACCTCTTAAAAAAGACTTCTTCACACCCTCCTTCCAACCTACATGTACACCTTGGTCAACCTTTCTTTCTCCATTGTTTCTTAATTACCAGCCATCTCAACAATCCTTCCTCTCTTGAATTATTCCTTTCACATTCACCACACCGTTTTCTACTTTTTTCTTACTCTTTATTCTCTGACTAATATTCACACCACACACTGATCTTATACATCTCCACTGCCTCCAGCCTTCCCCCTCACTTAAATATTCACGCAATCATACCTCAACCCATACAGAGTGTCACCGCCAATATACTCAGAGACCATCCACATATAACCGCCACTGACACACTTCTTTCCACAGAATTCCTAACACTTGCTACTTTTCTCTTAACTACAATATGATTCAACTCAAATTTCATATCAATCCATTGATCCCTTCGTATTACTCCTAATACCTTTTTATTTTCTGTATTCACTTTCTTCTTAAACCCTTCCAACTACTCCATTAACTTCTGCATCTTGTGTTCTGATTCATGCTGTATATTTACACAGCACTTCCCATCTTACCAAAGCTCTGGTCATAAGTTAAGTACCCAGTTCCATTATGCAACCTTAGTAACGCCATAAAAAGTGACCACTAAACTCCGGGATTTTCAGAAATTCAGAACCTATTACTATTGTTACATTCATTTGGAAGCGCCTAGTAGCGACTAGCGAAGAGACGGGTCCAGGACCTATGGATCGACCCCTGCAACCACAAACAGGTGAGTATCAAATCCGTGAGGATCTTTCAGAGCCTGGAGAATAAGACGGGTCGAGGTCTTCAGGTGTGACAATACTACCTTTTTTTGTGGTTAAATATACTTTCATATAAGTTTGGGTAACATAACCTAATTTAAAGAAAAAATTATATTATTTACAAGTTTATAGGAAGAGTTTAAAGATGAATTTCGCTACCTCGTAAGAAAATTAATACAGTAAAACGAAGACACTGTGATATACACACCAACGCACCTCATTGATGTGCTGGACGATCAGTTCGTAGCGAGGAAGCCTCACTGCTTGGTCACGGATACGATTACCGAAGGGCGGCTGCCTATTTAGGATCTGAAAGGCATATATAACATGTGAGGTCATTATAAATATCAGACTGAATGAATGATGGTGACTGCTTTCTTCTTTGGGTCACCCTGCCTTGGCGGGAGACGACCAGTGAGTTCGGTCAACATTTTACTTTTCAGTACCTACAACATATGTACCCCATGGAATAATTAAGCATTTCCTGTGCAAATTGTTATTTTGGGAGATATAATTAAAATACCTGTGATACATTTAAAATATTTCGGTGAGGCAGCACACTGAGGCGTCTCACGTCTGGTATTCATATATATGATGCAGTTGTTTTGGAGCGAAAGAGGCGGGATAGAAAAAAATCATATATAGGGAAAACTAATAGGTAATTAAGTAACAAAGAAACAGATGATAGATAAGTGACATGCAAGAGAATGAATGGAATAACATATTGATGAAAAGTTTCCGTCTGGGCAGTTAGAAGACAGACTAGGAAAGAGAAAGAAACCTTAATAATTCGGAAGTGGGTAGAATTTATGGCGTTACAGCAATGTCAAACGGAAGATTTTGAATGATGGACAGGTTACCGATATAACTATAATCATTGGGTCTGATTAACATTGTGACTTCATTAATAATGTTTTAGGTAATACGCCTCACAGGATTGATGTACTGTATATCTATCTGCTGAGAACAATCCCACTGTAGGGATGGAAACGTTAATTTTGTGTCTAGTTTCAAACTGTGGGAAACTGAATAGCGTTCCCAGTATGGGAACTTCAATAATAAACTACCCAGTTTAGGCACTTCAGAGAGAATAGCTAAATCAAAGTGTGGGTGATTAAAGAATAGGCTACTCATTGTAACCACATAAAGAATAAGACTTGAAAGTCTGGGAGTTTAAAAAAAATGGCTATTCAATCTGAGCACTTTAAAAACTGCCTACTTAAAGTCTGAGTACTCAAATAATCTACTGAAGGTGTGAGTACCTAAAGAGGTCTACTCAAAGTGTATGTTTTATGCGCGATTTACAAGTGTAATATCACATTCATACATAAAGTTTGACATCTACAAATGTTTATAATTAATGTTACTGTGGAAGTCATCATAAAAAAATGTTAGGTACCAGTTCAATGTTCCTGGGTGATTCTGCCTCGAGGGCAGTGAAGGAGGTGATTTTAGAGCGGACAAGTGCGTCGCTGAGGACAGGACCAATCTTGTCCAGCTGACGTGTAACATATCTGCTGTTCTCCCATAAGCGGCTGCTGAAGCACTTACACAGCAGTGTTGTGTTGAGCTGCATCTCGTACTCTCTCCTCGTGGCCCCGTACTCTGCCAGGCCTATACCAGCACACAAGGAGATTTAAGCAAGAACTTAGCATCACTAGAATTAATTCTTAGCCCTCTTATTACAAGGAAAAACAATAAAAGTTATGCATTTTTCCCTCCCCACAAGGAAAACAGTTAACTGAAGCTATGCATTTTTCCCTCCCCACAAGGAAAACAGTTAACTAAAACTATGCATTTCTAATATCAATTTCGTTTTAAATTTCCACAACTACCCTAGGAACCTAAGGTAATAATAATAAAATTTATATTATTATTATAATCAAAAAGAAGCGCTAAGCCACAAGGACTATACAGCTATAAAATTTATAAATATGATATATTTTACAAATATATATAGTAATTTATTAACTGATCAAAGAATTTTCATAATTTCATTGAGGATTTCTATAGCAAACTGTTCAATAGGGTCTCAGTAATATTTATTTATCATTACTAATAAAACTTCACATAAAACTTCCATTGCCTCCTTTGGGCTCTCTGCTTTAGTAAACATCTAACACTAAAAAGATAGAAATGAGAGACGAATTAAGTTCTATATGAAACTAAAACTCATAACAACGAATTCAAAATGCATAAATTCAGATTTTTTTATTGAAGAACACTGGGTGAAATAAAATGCCAACCAGTGCATGGACCAAAATAAAAACTGTGCTGTTCCTATATTCTTTATTGCTGTTATTTGATTCGTCGGCAAAACATCTGATACGAGTTTTTTGTCATAAGATACCCATTCAGTAGCATCGGTTCCATGGCTGGCGCGCAGGAGGACTAAGACCTACGGTCACAAGACCGATGGTCCACCACGGTAGAAGGCTCCACTATTCTAATGTTATTAAATGAGTGTGGAGCACGGAGAAGTGCAAGAGTATAACATGGAGCACACTGGATAATAGAAGGCGAGTGTCTCAATTGGAAGATATTTATTTAAATTGATCTAGAGGTTTAAAAAGAAGTTGACAAAGTGGCAAGGGTTGTCTCTTTAGAGTCATGAAGTCACGTTGTTGAAGTCGAGTAATGCTGGAGCCCTCAAGGGACGTGCTTGGATGGTGGTGAGCTCTTTACCCAAGGAGCTGGACCTATCCTACCTTTCCTTGAATCGAACCAGACTACCTATCATTTCCCCAGGTGCTGTATGATCCCTACAGGTTTAACACTGCTCTCATGAATGTAATAATTAAAATAATACCGGCTGTCCAAATTGCGTCAACAAGTGCTGGCTTCTTTACCTCTCGAGGAAGACCCCATGTTAGACTATGTCAGTTTATGCATTTTGTAAAAAAAAAAAAGAAAAATATTAAGGACAGTTGCTGTGCTCCTGAAAGCTGGCACATTAGCCTTCCTTTCCATGTTATTGATAGCAATGTTGTCCCGAGAGTTTTCTAAGATTTTTGTCTTTATAGATTTGACAATATGCGTCCCAATATGATCGGAGACCGTCAGAGCGTTGGGGCAACTGTGCACTTGGTTTTTGAAACAGCTGGGTGACAAACTTATTACAGAAACCAAAGTCCCCAGAGCGACCAGTTTTTTTTTTTTTTTTTTCCCAGACTCGGTGTTGCGATCCAGAGGAAATGCCTGCAGCTTTCTGGGCACACGTCTCACCCCCGCGGAGCTGCATAACTGTTGGAGATATGTATAGTATTTGTGATATTATGCATGGTATTCTCTTTCTCAAACTATTTTTTAATAGTGTGTGGTGTGTGTGTGTGTGTGTTTAGTTAGTTACCATTTTGTCCTAGGCACATGTCGATTAGACACTAGGCCTGTAGTATGTGTACTCACCTAGTTGAGGTTGCGGGGGTCGATTCCGAGCTCCTGGCCCCGCTTTCATGATCGCCACAGGGCCCCCTCCGGCCGGGCTTTATCATACCTTGTTAAAGATGTATGGGTCCGCCTCACTACATGCTTCCCCAAAATATTTCCCCTTTTCTGACTACTCGTGGCTGAAAAAAATACTTCCCAAAATCCCTGTGATTCTCGTGCTTCAGCTTCCAACTGGTCCACTTTTTACGTTTCCATCCTGGGAAAATCCGTCTTTGTCCCCCTTTCAATTCCTTCATATTTTGTATGTCTTTCAGTCCCCCTTTTCTCTGTCCTCCAGTGTCGTCAGGTTGATTTCCCAACCTCTCCCGAGGGGAAAACCCTAGCTCTGGGACTATCTTTTTGCAAACCTTTGCACTTTCTCTGTTTTTTTTCACGTGCTTG